GATAGAGTAACCAAAAGCCCCATTAAAAAAATTGAAGAAGAAAAAATAGTACATGAAGTTATCAGAAAAAAGTGATGGGGAGGTATGGGAGGAGTTGGAGGGGAGGGAGTGGGCATGGATTTGATCAAAACACCTTATATGCATGTATGAAAGTCTCAATAAATTATTTATTAAAAAAATAAAAACAAATGATACCATAGTAACTTCATGAAAAATGTATGGAATTAAAGGATGTCCAAGCTCGGTGTGGTGACACATACTGGTAATCCCAGCATTTGGAAGACAGAGTCAGGCTTGGTCCAGTTCCAGTCCAATTTGAGCTACAAAGCAACTTTTAGGCTCAACTATATTACAATGTCTCAAAATAAAAAAGACCTTAGATCTATAACTGCTCACAAGAAGAAAGCTGCAAGTTTGATTTCTTTATCTAGTTGGTAAACAATGACCAGGTTTCAGACCTTATAAAAATTATTCTTGGGTGAGGGATAGAGCTCAGTGGGTAAAGAAGCTTATAACCAAGAGTAATCTCCTGAGTTTAGTTCTTGGGCCACATATGGTGAAAGGAACAAAAGGACTCCTGAATGTTGTCCTTTGACCTCCACACAAATGTCTTGGCTGATAGACACATACAAACACCCAGCATGCACTAAAATATAAACAATGTTTAGAAGTCATGCTTAAAATTAGAATGACAATCCTTTCCTTCTTGTATGTGGAGAATATGTCATTTGCTTGATATATAAAATATGCACTCCGTGTATCTAATGACATAATGTTAATTTGTGAAGAAAGTCTTACCTAGTAAAGAAATACATGGAACTTTCTGAATTCTGATCACAACATAGTGAGAGTGAGTTCAGAGCACACTGAGGATTTAATGGTTATATTGTAAAATTTTTCAAGACTTTCTCTAAAGAAAATATGGGACCATAAAGACTTTTCTAGGAAAAAGTAAAAGCAGTTACCCTAAATATACTTATTAGATATGTGTATACAATTCACTGCTAAATATTATGCTCTGAAAATATTCTCTCTGCACATAGGCTTTGAAAAACCTAAAAATACAAATTGTCACTGAGAGAGATTTGTATGTCATTAGTAAATATAGAGGTCTGGAGATGACCGTAGGAAGGACTTAGTCAGATAGTCACATAGGGAAGGAAATGTCAAAATGCATTTCTAACTAATATATTCAACTCTAAGGCAGATTGCTTTCTCAAGTATATTCCACTGAAAGTGTTTGACTCATAATCCGTCATTAAAAATGATCACTTCTTTCATGATAACCAGTGCTGTGTAGTCAGATTGCAAGATTCGTTTTAGAAATTTATAAAACATGCTTATCCCCTAAACTCTGGATATATTTAATAACCAAATATTAATAAGAAAAATTCCATTCATGTTTTTCTTTTTCTAATAGGAATCCTCTAGGAATTAAAAAAGAGCTCAATTTCAGAAAAAGTTATATCTAATTAGGAGCCAGTCTCCCTCCCATCTTATTTACTTTGCTCTTTAAAGGGCAAATATCACTGTAATGAAACCACAGTATATAAACAGTTGAAATGTACCAATGGACTTGAAAGCTACATTGGAAAACCTAGCAGCAGAATTCTAGGAGGAAAATGAATTTAATAACTTTTAATGGTGCTCCATGCGAAGAAGCTTGATAAGAATGCTAGAATATTCATTTTGTCCAGCATTCTACTTTTGCTGCTTCTGTAACACCAAAACAATCATATAATGCGTAGATGCAGTTGGTGAAGGTAGAAGTCTAGTTTACGCAGTGTTGAAAGTCCGTTGTTCAAGTTCCAGTCCTGCCACTTAGCGATTTCTATTATTAGATTATTGGTTTTAGCACTCTTTTAGGTTTATTTTTTTTTCTGTAATAAAAACACTGATCAAACCCAAGTTGGTGAGGAAATGGTTTATTTTATCTTACATCTCCCAGATCACAGTTCATCACTGAGGGAAGTCATGGTAAGAACTCAGGACAGGAACCTGGAGGCAGGAGCTGGAGCACAGGCCATGGAGGCATGCTACTTACTGGCTTGCTCCTCTGGCCTGTGCTCAGCCTGCTTTCTTATATAATACAGGACCACATGCCCAGGGTGGCACCACTCACAGTGGGCTGAGCCCTCCAACATTACTCAACAATCAAGAAAATATCCCACTGACATGGCCACAGGCCAGTGAAATGGAGGAAATTCCCCAGTTGAGGCTCCCTCTTCCCAGGTATGCCAAGTTGACAACTAAAGCTGTCCACACAAGCACTAAATGGATATTTCACTAAGATAAGAAAGAGTCAAAAGGATATATTTGGGACAGACTAGCTATCAACAGTCCAGTGTTAGTTCTATTCAGATTTCAGTGACTATTGGTTACACAAGTGGGACTGCTAAGTACATAGTTCAGTAATGTCGTTAAAAGGAGAGAAGTTAGAAACACAAATTTGATAGAGAGTTAGAACAGAGGAAGACTAAAAAAATGGAAGAGAACAGAAAGAAAGAGAGATTTTCAAGAGCAGTGAAGGTAGTCAAACACTCAGTGATGCCGAGAGGTCAAGCAGGGTAAAACCAGTGAGGATATAATTTCACCTGGTAGCACTGAGGGATAGAGATGGAAGGATCATGGAGGGAAAGAGATGGAAGAGACTATGGAGAGATAGAGATGGAAACCTGGTCAATACGAGCTGATGAGAAAATGAGAGGGCTGAGAAATAGGACATACTGATTTTAGCCAACAAAATCTTTGCTATACAAATTCTAGTGAGATGTGAGCTCATCTGAGGGTACTTTAAAAGTAGAAAGTACTCAGACATGTTGTTTTGTATGTTAATAATGATATTTTCAGATAGAGCAATGATGATTCCAAAAAGATTAGAATGATTTTGAGCCAATATTTTGAGAGCATAAAGAAAATAGAAACCGATAGGCCAGGGGAGGAGATGGCCTTGACCAATTCCTGCACACTAACAGAGTGGATGCTTTCCCTATTGATTCTATGGGAGGTTTGGGGAGACTTTTCAGGTTGCATCCATTTAGTAATTCACACCCATGTTTTGATGCTATAAGAGACAAGATAAGATAAAGCAAAAGTAAAGGGAGATTATGAAAAGATTTAGAAAAGAAAGGGAGTATTTGTTTAGACAGGATCTTATTATATAGCCAAGGCTGGCCTCCAACTCATGATCTTCCTGTCTCAGCCTCTTGAATCCTGAGATTCCAGGCATTCACCAACATACCCAGTTAAAAGTGTTTAATATAATGTAAGTGAACATGGCAGAATATGGTAGTATGGATTTTTCTAGCCATACTGCTGAGTCACTTGAAATATTTACAGCGCTTAATACAAAACCCTGTTAATGTATTTTGCTTTGAATGAAGCTACACTCACTTGGTAGAGCAGAATTATGAACTACAGAAAGAAAACAAACCATTGAGTAAAACCAGTTTCTGACAAGAAGAAGTATATTGCTAATGAGCCAAGACCACATTAGAGGCAGAAATGAAGAATCTGCAATAGAAAAAAACTACAGCAGCTGTGGTCATTGAACAAGACCTTCACAACGTACAGGGAGCCAAACGTCAGGCATACATTGGGGGGAGGTGTCTCCAGGATCTATCCCTTAATGAGGAACTATCAGCTCTTGACGGCTGCTGGGAGAGGGAGAATCATTCCTTTTTTTCTCATGTGTGTGTGTGTGTGTGTGTGTGTGTGTGCCCCCTGGTAGGTTTCCCATGCTCCAGTGAATGGCTCTACACCTACACACATACGGTCCACACTAATTGCACTTAGTAGTTTATGGAAAAATCAAAGACATGGCCTTGAAAGGGGGACATTTTACAGAGATATGGGAAAAGTTGGAAGAGCAAAAAGGAGGTGGTGGTGGTGAATGTGATCACATTTCACGATTTCTCAAGGATATTCTCAAGGATAAAGGAAAAATTATGATAGGAAAAATAAAAGATGGGGGTTGGGAAAGATAGCTTAGCAGTTAGGAGCACTTCATTGAATTTGGTTTCAGCACCCATAAGGTGGTTAGCTAGAGTTTGTAACCAGTTCCAGGGAGTCCAATGCCCTCTTATGGCTTCCACTGGCATTGCATGCTTGTGATGCATTTACATATATGCAGGTAAGACAACAATACACGTAAAATGTAAATAAATTTATAAAAGGAAAAACACTCTGCAGCTTGAAAAGGATAGAGGCAGAAGTGGAGAAGATGGGAATTGCTGATGGATTGGTATTAGACAGCTCTAAGCTTAGTCAAGTAGGCCATGTGCTCATTTATGTGGCTTGGAGTTGAAAAGGACGTATCTGTATTAGCAGTTACAAGTGACAACTCAGCAGGTTAGCATTTTTAATATATTCTAAATAAGGGACATGTTAAGTTAAATGACTGGGCTGAGATGGAAATAAAGTATGGTTGGGGGAGAAGGATAGCACTTACTTGGAAGGGAAATGAGAGGAATTCAGTGAAGAGAATGCATAGTACAGTGAACCACTTAAAGAGGCGTGCGTAATTTGTCAAGCTCAGGAGAAGGGTCACCATGGAAGGTCCACACTCGCATCCAATGCGCCTGGCAGGCAGTTGCAGTGACAGCTTTCCTTCCTCTGATGCTTTCCTCGCTCCTATTAAAGCTTTGAGCCTTGCATTGGCATCTTTAGTGTTTAGCAAATATTGCTAGCATCAATGGTGCAAGAAGGCAGATGCTACCCAAAGTAACTGAGCCCCAGGAATTTCAAATCAGAAAATCTGAGATTTGGCCCTCATTGACTACATCATGCACCATTATGCAAAGAAGTTCCTATCTGATTGTTTCCTCAACAATGAAAAGAATCGGGCCACATTTCCCAGCCTCCACCCTCACTTTATCCCACTGGGGAACATACTCAGGAGCTTCTACTTGGCACAGATCTTCAATATCATTCTTTCAAATTTTACTCTTGTGCCATACTTATAAAATGTCACTCCTTATGCTGACATTGTTGCTACTTACTGTAACAGTGTTTTCTATCAGCTCCTAGCTCAAAGCCAGGGTGGCAGGCACAAGTGAAAGAGCCTTCTGAGTTCACACAGTGATGAGCACAGGGAGGGAGCCCTTCAGCACACTCGTTTATATCTGCAGAGAGAGACACAGCAACTGTCTTAGCAGCTCCAATTAAGGCTTATTTGTAAGTTGTAAAAAGTGAATCAACTGTTCCCCCATCTCACCCCTAACACTCAATGTAACAATAAATACCATGGGCTCCATATACTTTGTGTGAAAGGGCATTTATTAAATATACCAACTACTTAAGACTTTCCATCCAGTGTTGGTCTGATGCTCTCAAGTACTTTTTTCTATTAGAACAAACTGCTATTAATTAAAGAATAAAGATGTGAGAAAGGAACAAAGATAGTTGTAATCCATTCTTTAACAATTAAAGTAGAAATAATTGTAGATTGACTATGTGAATATATTTTGTTCTTAAATAGAAATATTAACTCCTTGTTTTAAATTGGAAGATGCAATCATGGGCAAATCCAATCTGGGGGTGTACCCTATAATAACAATTGACCGGTCCATGTACATTGTTCTATTATAAATGGGTGTAGAGGTGCTGGTATCATATCTTCTGAAACTGATCATTTCATTTTGGTATGATTTCAAATTTCTCAACTTCTTCCTCTTAACAAAAGCAGTCTTGTTACTTTTTCTAACCAGCACATCCTCCTTTTTTTGCAGAACTGAATGCCATCTCCCCATTCTCATGATTTGTTAAGCCTAAAGCATGCAGGGACATTGAAAATAGATCTTTAGGATCAATGTATTGGATATTAATATAAAAGTCTGAAAAACTGAAAGTCATCTATGTTTCTGTTAATCCTATTTGTCCATTTTCAACAAATATTCTTGAAGCTCCTGCTCTGTCTGGTCTGCGAGATGCTGAACCAGAAGTGTTCTGAGAAATGAGGAAAAGAAGAATTTCTTGTCAGAATAATATGTTAAAAATCCACTAAATCTTTATTTTTGAAAAAAAAATCAACTAACATCACATTGATTTTTATGTCTAGTTCCTTTTCAATTTCTCAAAATGTTTATCAGTCCTGTGAGTCAGAGAACATTTTGCTGTTTTCATAATTAATCCAAATAAACTGTTTCTCATTTCACAAAAATGCCATGATAAAAATGAAAGATTCTGTAGTTTCTCAGAAGTTATTAAAACAAAGACTCTCCCACAGGAACTCCTTCATTTATTGGTGCCAGTCATGAAACAATTTATCCCTTTCATCTCTGAATTGAAGTACGTCTGTTTTGCTATTTCTAGGAAACGGAAATGTGTAACCTTGTATTTATAGTTTCTTTCTTTCTCATTTTAATTATTCCTAACTTCTGAGAGAACTCATTTGCACATACTTGTTTTTCAAAGGTTATCCCCACCTTCTGTAGTATATAATCAAAAACTCCCTATGTGGTTATGCAGGGTTTTGAAATATTAATTCTAGAATAAAAAACAGAACACAAAAAGCATTAATTCTGAAACCGCACTAGGTCATTTTTTGTGGTAACTAAGAATTTTATGACTTTCTTATAACATTATAAAATACCTTTCAGAGTAATCAAATAAGAATTTAAGTGTTCATTTTTGGCATAAATGGAAATACCTTTTCTCCTAGCTGTTCCAACTACTCAAAACTGACTAGTACAAAATTTCAAACCACTGTGCAATTAAGCCATCAGCTTAAGCCTCCTACCTTCACAGGCCTTTTTGTCTTCAGACAGCTGGTACCCACTGTGGCAGGCACACCTGGCCACACCATTCTCACTCCGGCATATGTGAGCACAACCATTCCCACCTGTGCAGGGGTCCATTTCTGAAAGCAATTAAATGGTGATAGTTTACAATTAACTCAGTTTAGAAAGATGTGCAGAGTGAAGGGATGAACAAAGAAAATTCAAGAAGACACTAGTTATTGCTTTCCCCCTTAAAGATGATGTGCTGGACAGCTTCAGTTGTCAACTTGACATACCTGGGAACAGGGACCTTTAATTGGGTAGTTGACTCTATCACATTGGCCCCTGGGCATGTCTGTGAGGCATTTTCTTGATTGTTGAATGATGTAGGAAGGCCCAGCCCACTGTGGGTGGTGCCATCCCTGAGAAGGTGGTCCTAGACTGTATAAGAAACCAGCTAAGCACAAACTAGGCGTAGGGAGTGTTGATCTATGGTCTCTGCTTCAGTTCCTGCTTCCAGGTTCCTGTTGTGCTTGAGTCCCCCCCCCCCTTGGTTTCCCTCAATAATGGACTTTGGTCAGAAGTGTAAGATGAAATAAACAATTTCCTCCCCTTGGTTGCTTTGGTTAGTGTTTTATCACAATAGAAAGTAAGTAGGACAGATGGTTTAGGATTCCAGAGTTCCTCCCACAATCCTATGGAATTCATTCAACAAGAAACTAAGCAATGCCCTAAGACAGGTTACATGCTTGCTGTATAAGGTCACTCTGCAACATTCCTTGCCTCCACTCCTAAGAGGGGACAAAAGACAGGAGTAAACAGGACATCAGAGCCCCTGGAACTAGAGTTACAGAAGGTTGTTAGCTACCATGTGGGTCCTGGGAATTGAACCCGGAAGCTCAGCAAAAGCAGCCAGTGCTCTCAAGTGCTGAGTCATCTCTCTGGTCCCCTAAAAAGAATATTTGAAAAAAGAAAATTAAATGCATGATACACCACCTCACATTGTTTAAAAAGACAAAATGAAACACGTGTTGGCTAGAATATGGAGGAAAAGAGCCTTGCTCTTGTTAATATCAGTTAGTAAAATAGTACCAATAACACTATGGAAGTTCCTCAAAAAATTAAAAACAATTCTGCTGGATGATTCACTTTTCTTACTTCTGCATGTACCTAGTCAAGAAAAATAAAATCCGTCTATCTGGTTTTAGTGTTCATTGTATTATTTATGATAGACAAGATACGAAATCTATTCAAGCTCCATTAAGTGATGAATGAATATAAAGAAATGGATAAAAAATACATACACCTATGCATACACGCAGTGGGATACAAAAACAGTTTTTTAAAAGTCTTATTATGCTCAATAACATGGTTGAACCTTGAGGACCTAAGGTAATTAAAAAGCCAAGCCCAGAAAGGAAAATATGAAATTATCTGATTTCTATGTGTGATTTGCAAAAGTCTAATTCACAGAAGCAGGAGGCAAATGTTAGGGTCTGGAGGTTGTGCAAAAGGAAAGAAAAATTCTAGTCAAAGGATCTGAAGTTTTAGCTATGCAGCATGAGTTAGTTGAGGAGAGTTACTTCATAGCACAGTGAGTAAAATGCCGCATTTTATACTTGAACATTACTAAATATATCTTCAATGTTCTCATCACCAAAAGCTATTCCTGTGAGGTGATGGTTATGTTAATTAGCTTGATTTAATATTTTTACAGCGCATATATTTATCAAAGCATGTTGTCCACTGGAAACGTACATTTTATTTATTTTTATTCATTTAAAAAATTTTATTGATCTTTTGTAATTTTATACATCAGTTCTTAATCAAATTTAGACCCCCTCCCCCATCCACATCTCCCCATGTCCTCACCAGATCTCGTGTGTTCCACCATATATACTACGTCCTATCCACTCAAGAATTTGTATCCAGATGTCTTTCAGTGTAAATTGGTCCACTGGAGTTTAGTCAGTCCATCTAGAGATCATATGTAAGACATACTCTCCCTCACCCATTAGCAATCAGTCTCCAATAGTTCTCAGTCTAGGACTGGCCTGCTGCCCATTTCTCTCCTCCCCTCTTGATCCTTGTTTAATTGAGTTGGCATGGGTCCTGTGCCACAAGTTCACATGTGCAAGCTTCTAGTGACCTGAAAGCCTCTGCATCTCTGTGTTCATAAACCAGCCCTGGCTCTTACAATTTTTCTGCTCCCTCTTCTGAAATGGTCCCTGAGCGATGGGTGGGCGAGTTTCAATAAAGTAGTCCTATCCAAGAATACACACTCTTAGTCTCTAAAACTTGGCCAGCTGTGGCCTTCTGTGTGCATCACACTCCATTATATAAGGAAGCTTTACTGGTGAGAGTTGAGAGATGCATTAGTTTTCTCTCTACTCCTTGTTCCACTATGTTCCATGAGCCTTAAGTGTAGAGGTTCAACTCTAGATGTGTCACCTAGGACTGGGCATGTCTCAGATGTGTATTGTGTCTGACCAGTTGTGGAATTCTGCAGTAGCCTCTATCTGTTGCAAAAGAAGATTTGATGAGATTTTTATTCATTTTTAGTTGTTTTTTTTCAATATAGTTTCATCTAATTTTTGAGGATTTCATACATCTTAATCATATTTAGAACCCCTTCCATATCTCTACCCCCATAGCCTGCCCATTGCATTTTGTGCATTCTGTCATATATATCAAGGCCTTTCCAGTCACGTTTGTATACCAAGATGTCCCTTGGTATATGTTTAGTATTTTTTTAAACATTTCATTCTCTTTTCAGCTGGGCAGGGGAGGCAGCATGTCATGGCACATGTGTGGAAATCAAAGGACAACTTGGGTGGGATTTAGTTTTTCCCTTCCACCATTAGGGTCTTCAGGCTTGTGTAACAAACACCTTTGCCTGCTGATCCATCTTATGGGCCCAGTTTTTTAAATTACCTAGCCTCAGTAAGGCTAGGTGGAAAGAGAAAACTGAGTGTAATAAAGCAGAAAAACCTTCAGAAAATAATCAGCATTTACCTACTGCATTATTACACACAGGTTTAGCCACAGACTTCCATAGTCTATATTACAGATGTGCTGGACAGATACATTCTTGAGTTATTTACTGAATGAAACTCATGCCTACTTTGTAAACTTTGATGGTGGCAAATTTATATCTCTGAAATACCATGAAAAATCTCCTTTAGAAACTGTAAATATATACTTTGTCAACTAAAAATTATTTTATTATAATCAATGATCCAATTTTAAATTTAACCCCAGTAATTTTAAGGGCTTTGAAAAGGCATCATTTGAAGCCAGGCATGGTGGCACATGCCTTTAATCCCAGCACTCAGGAGGTAGAGGCAGGCAGATCTCTGTGAGTTCAAGGCCAGCCTGGTCTACATAGTGAGTTCCAGGACAGCTGGGGCTAAAGGGAGACCCTGTCTCAAAAAGACCAAGCTAACAACAAAAAAAATGCATCGTTTGAAAATTTCATGCATGCATATAATGTGACTTGGTGAAATCCACCCCACTCACTCCCATCCAACTCCTCCCATACCTTCCCCACTACGTTCGGTTCCAAGTTCATACACTGTTTTAAACACACTGAGTCTAGTATGTACGTGGATGTAGGCCCATCTACTAGAGTACGGGTAGCCTCTTAGGGGCTACATCCAAAGAAACCTAGTGTTCCTTCCCCAGCAGCCATCAGTTGCAGATCTCACCTCAGCTAAGGGGGGGTGGGTCTTTACTCCCTCTTTATCCATGCTGGATTTCTGACCAGCGTTCTCTGTATGTTTTGTGCACAGAGTCATAGCTGCTGTGAGTTCTTGTGTGCAACGATTCTGTCATCTCCAGAAAACACTGTTTCCCAGTTTCTCTGGCTCTTAGAGTCTTTCTACTCCCTCTTGCTGGATGATCTCTAAACCTGTGGGAGAGGGAGGGATGCAGATGTCCCATTTAGGGCTGAACATTCCCATCTCTTTGCTCTCACTCGAGGGTACTATTTTTTCCCTTCAGGCTTTCCTGGGAACACTGTTTTCAGAGCTGAAGACATCTAGAATAATTACAAATATTATGGACCATATCTGAGTAATTTTTGTTTCAGTGATGCTGTGTTCCACCACACTCATGTTAAGCTTTCTCAGGGTTCGAATCCTCAAGGACTCCATTATATTTGTGAAGGCATTTCCACATCAGAGCCTACATCTCATCTACATGTTGAATCTTTTCTTGACCTTTAAAAATGTTATTATATATACAGTTTTTCTACTCATAAAAACAAAGTGTTCCCCTTTGATGAAATATACATATGCATAATCAGTGTGCATATTCATACAAGAGGGTATGATACCATCTTACTAGGAAACATGAATTGGGCCTAATAAATTTGGGCTTAATTAAAAGACATATTTTGGTTATAACGGAAAATGAAACCATTCACTCTAAAACCTAATGATATTTAAAATACAATGGACTTTTCATCTGGTAATATTCTCATAATGTAAAGGATATCTGGGACTGAGCTAGTTCTCTTCTTTGAACCAATTTCTTTTCCTCATTTAAAAGTCAGTGTAGCTGTCATCACCTGCTCAAGACTTTCTCCACCAGCTCTAGACTGGTTTAGACGTTTGTCTCTTTGTTTTTCTTAATTACTCTAGCTTTCTTTACCATTGTGCCACTATAATTTTCCCTCATACACGGACGGATCTTTCCACTAGTTCTGAGCTGACTGAGGGCAGAGATTTCTGAGTTTTCCACAGAAATAACTCCTTAGCTCTAACACCAGTGCTTGGCACAGAGTAGAGTCTTAAGTGTACCTCTTATGTGAAGGAGATGGGAGACAAAGCAACATGTGAAGGAATGGGGAAGTTGGTGAGCAGGGTTTTCTCTCTGGTCAATACTGTTTTTTCCAGGTCTCTAGAAAGAAATCCTCAAAGCAAAAACGAAATAAAATAATCATTTGGTGCATGTTCTTTAAAGAGAGAGAATAGCCCTTCAAAAAAATTCTCCTTTAGATTTTCCTTTCATGTTTTGCTCATTACTAATATTCATTTCATGGGCTCACTTTATGTGTTCAAGGCCCTTAGAGAGTCAAGACTTATTTCTCACACAGCATTGCGAATTGCTTTCATCTAGTCCTAGATAAAATGCAAGA